ATCCAATGATCCAGTTTTTAATAAATAAAGTTATCCTATCCTATCCTACATTATTCTGCAAACAGGTAATGAGAAGACTCTAACTTGTCAGGTGGAAGTTGTCGTCTTGAACTAACAACTACTGAATTATCGTAACCAATTTACAAGTTAATGTGTAGGAGCTAGACTGGGGAATATGAAAAATCAGATCTTGGGGAGTTAATGAGTTAGCCAGTGGTTATGCACAACAGAACCATTGCCACAATATCTAAGGTAGCTTATGTCCATTCGCGGGAAATCGTAAACGTAAAAGTGTTTACACCGACGAATCATGATTTGTTGTCTAAAGTAACAGCAGTCATCGAGCCAATGAAAACAGACTTCTCTGGTCACTGCACCTTCTGAGTGCGTAGGATGACCATTCTTTAACCAGCCAGTGGCATGTGTGCCACAGTGAAACAACTTCACGCATTTATCTGCCATTTGAAAACCTACAGGAAGAGAAAAAAATATAAATCGTGGAAGACTACTGACGTACAAAACGTGTTGTGGGAGTGCAAGGTGTTGACTCAAATTCTAATCGGGCTTGTTCAAAATCGTAATAATTGTAATTTGGGTTTTATCGATTGATCTGATAACGTAATTTGGCCACCGTAAAGAGTTTCAAAGCTGACGTTTCGAGCGTTAGCCCTTCGTCAGAGCGTCATTCGCTCTGACGAAGGGCTAACGCTCGAAACGTCAGCTTTTAGACCCCTTACGGTGGCCAATTTATATCATCGACTCAGTTGATAAAACCAAATTACCTTGTTACCCCCACCGATGCAGCACCACAGTTTCTTTAGAAACTTACCCCCTTTATTCACTTGTTTTTCATAGTTTGTTCGTAAAGAAGTGAAGGCTAACTTCCAGAACAGCGACCGGTAATCGTTCCTGGTATTTTGATATCGGGACAGTTTTTAGGCTTAATAAAGCAATTTTCGAACATGGTCCCGCACTGCTTTGGTTTTGACTCTGTTAGGTTCCGTTCTAAGTTTTAAAAAATGGCTCTAACTTCCTAACCATCGAGATGTACTTGACCAATCAGATGCAAAATTTTGAATTACTGTTATTTGTCGCGTGCGCTTGCCCTTTTTCTCATCTGGCTCCCAGTGATTTTCTCTCAGTTTGTCAGTCATCGGCCCGCGTAAAAACGTCGGACTTTGGTAGTACACTATCAAACCTAAAAGCACTTTATCAGTTAATTATTGGCTATCCTACAAAACTGGCTATGAGTGACCAAGACAGAATTTCTCCTTACAACATCAATACAATATCAAGCAGGCAGGTGACGAGAATAGAGAAAAATATCAAATAGGGTATTATTAGTTTATCCAATACCAAGTTCTCACAACTAACATCATAACAATTCTAGGACAGCCGGTAAGGAGAGATCTCGGGAGTGAAATGTTAAGGATACTTGGGAATGTCTCGCGACAAATCGTCATGCACAGTTACTCACCCGCGCGGTCTTTGAACCTGTACCAGCCAGGAGAGAGGCCGGCGTCAGTCAGAGATACAAAAGGATCGTAGAATCCTTGCGATCTGTCCGCCGAATCCAATAAACCGTGATTCTCGCACTCATTAGGAACTGTGTCATAATTAAAAATTGAGTCTGTTAACGTTTGTAACTTATGTGTGAACAGTTTTCCAGTCACCGGTGGTCTTGAATCGTTTGCCAATCATTTACGCAATTCAAGTTTAAAATCGGATGAAAGGACTCTTATTTCTTAAGTTTGTGATTAGAACGATACAGGGAGTTGTCGCGTGGGCGCTCATTGCGTATGTACTTTTCATCAAGTGATCGTGCATATTAATGTAGGCCATTGCCATTAGAGTCAAGGTAAGCTGTCCTAGTCAAAGTTTCAATTCATGAACAAATTTCGCGCGGCACGGAGTTTGTAAACGCACAGAGCTGCGGAGGTACCGATTTCCAGAGGTGTACAAATTATTGTAGACGTAATCTCAAATAATTGCTAACAGAGTAATGATAAGCCATAAGAGAAAAAAAAAAACAATGAATCACAAACAACAACCTAAAATTTTCCGAGAAGTTCACGCAGAGTCAAACCAAAGTGTTCGTACTCCAATCAGAGCTACTCACCTTCAACAACATTAGGACGTTTCTCCCTAACGGTAGGAGTTTCCTCTTTGACTGTTGGTCGTTCCTCCTCCAAGGTAGTGGCTTCCTCCTTGACAGCGTCTCCGCAATACCGCATGGGACACTTGGGTGGGAGCTCTAAATGGTACACCATGAAGTTCACACAATTTCTGACTTGGATCATTTTCCACTCCTTACAGCACTCCCCTTCGAGGTGAAAGCACACTCTCCTCAAAACCCTCCCATCCTGGGGCATGGGATGGTCCCCGTCCAACCATCCGGGTCCATAAGTTCCACAGTGGAACTTAGGGACACAAGCCGTAGGCATCATACGGCCCGCCTGTCGCAAGAACCTGTACCATCCACGTTGTAAATGGTTGTCACACATCTCGAGAGAAGCATTGTAGTATGTCGAAGTACGGTAAGGGTCAGAAAGTTCTATATAATCGGTGCATTCGTTTACATCGCTGGCACCGGCATCTAGCGTAGAATGTAGAAAAAAAAAAAAAAACGTCAAAAAAATATAAAAATGGATAAAATTCATATAATTGATGTTTTAATATCCAGTCTGAAACAGACTAAATAAATCATTTATTCTGAGATCATGGGACAACTTACAAGGAAAACGGCAAGGCAACAGAAACCTCAACCGTGAACAAGAGATATTTTTCCCGTCTCCTACAGATTTATCAAAGGATTGTAGGAATTAAAAGTGAGCAGGTCAGAGTTCATTCTCGACGTTTGCCGTTGTCATAAACGCATGCTGTAAGTCACCAGGCCTCATTTACTTGATGTACCTATGCCGCTAATGTTCCCGCCCGCCTCCCAGTTAGCTTAATGGATAGAGCGCTGGACTGTTGTGCGGGAGGTCGAGGGTTC